TAGAAAAATATTAGGGTATATAAAACTTATAAACGCTAATTCTTTTTTTATTAGTTACTGTTTAAAACTTGCTCTAACGGAACACCCGATCTTAGATCTTTCGGGAATGTTTTTACTTTCATTGTCAAGGAATGTCGAGTTAAAGGTTTGGTTACAACACGCACAATGCCTTGATCACATTGCACCAAAATGCGCCCGGAAAATCCCGCTGTGTTATAGACTAATTTTTTGCGGTTCCTTTACGAAGTTGTTTTGTTCTACCTCTTTCTGTATGATAAATACTAGATCTACAGTAATGCATCCAACCTGTTTATGTGTATGCCATAAGAGACAAAGTGGACAAATCCAGTTCAAACCGTTTCAAATAATAAATCAAAACTTAGGGTGATAATGTCGTGATTTTGGAATTGTGACAAACGCGATCGGAGACATTGTCCCCAAACGAATGTAAACAAAACAGTCCATTGCGGTGATTATGCTAGCTAGTTACCTGAACTTTTTTTGCATGTTAAAACGGTATAAAGTTTACATGTAAATTTATGTACAACGCCCACCCTTCTCAAAGAGGCATGGGAGCTAAATTCTCTTTTTAACTCCTAAAGTTTCCAGAAAGCCAAAGAACGCGACTCCCGCGCTCCACGGTCACGGAATGTTTGATTTTGCTTCAACTAATTGTCTCTTTATGGCGGTATTGCTCTTCCCTGACGCTTACCGACGCCTGTGATGTAGCAGTTTGGCTCTTCACTGTCGTACACAAAAGACACGCTTTTGAGTCTTGCGTGCGAAGAATTCTTTTTTTTATATAGAGTGTCTCCTGTCTGCTAGGATATTGTATCCCTCTCAGCTCACGTTAGCTCTGACTGGCAGGTTCAAAGCAGCCCGCTTTCTACATTGTTTTAATTGTGCCAATGATGGCGCAAAATTAATTATTATCTAAAATTTCTGTAATGAGCCCAAGCGCTTAATGCCAGTTGTCGTGTCAGTTCAGTGTATTACTTCTAGTTACTTGAATTAATCCTGAACGGCGCCTTTGGTACAGCAGTTTTGCGCATCGCCGTCGCATGCAGGAGACCCGAGTTCGATTCCCCAATGGGGATAATATTTACAACGAGTATCTTGGTCTTTCTGGTAGGATGTTGTATTTCTCTCAGCCCGGGTTGGCCCTGACAAGCAGGACCGGAAGCTTTCCTCCAATATTTGTCTAGTAAACTGTGTCGATGGGGGCGTAAAACACCTACATTAAACAAAAAATGAAAACTGTCTCACCCTAACCCTAACACGCAACACAGTCATTCTAAAAAGCTTACCACATCGCTGCGAATGAACCACGGACAATGTTCCCCGTGTTAATAGGGGGATCCGAGCATCTCTGCTCATTCTGAAAAAACAAAATGATGAATGAAAATGACGCTTCAAGGTTTGTTATCTCCTTACATCGTTATCTTACCAAAACGTCTTACTCGGTTACTTGGTTAGAGAATACGTATGATCGCAGCAGTACAACGCCAAAGCTGCTCCTCCCTCCTCTCCAGGATTCATGAAACGGTTGGCTTGCTGATCGTTCCAGCCATCACGCTACCTTAGATTTATAGAGTTCTGACATGTTTGGCCGTTTTGAGTTACTAAGACAATGAGGTCAGAAAACAAAGCTGTTCTCTAAGAATCATACGATTATTCGGATTCGTTATCAAGATATTCAAAGAATTGCGTTTCAAAAAGCTCTGATACAAACATTTTTTGATGCCAAACTTCTCAAAATTAGGAATTGAGTCTGAGGAGATAGAACTTTGTAATTCTACAGTAGCAGTCAGGTGGTTGGATATTCTCCAAGCTTTTCCACATAGGTTGTTTGTCTGTCCCTGTCCCTCTAGAGACACCAGCCGCTCTCAGTGGGCCCAAATTACTGATGTGGTGCCCTCATCTTCTCTGGCTTTCCACGGCGTGGTGTAATCAGACACCCGTTAATTTTTGGGCATGTGGAGTTATTGGTATCATCCTCAAGTTTGTTTATTTGTCTTGCTTTCTACGTGAATTAAATACCCATATATCTAGAATGGATGTCGAGATATGTGGTTGAAGGAGAAAGGGGGGGGGGGGTAGCCTGGTTTTAGAGAAAGGAACGTGGGAAACTGGCCGCCAAAGTTTGGTATAATAGCTTGAGAATTGAAAATTTATATTGTCATTACTCTTAGTCGTTCAGTACAATTCACATGGAAATGTGCTTTGATATGGACATTATAAAGTGTTGAGTCAAAAATTATTTTGACGAGCACCTGATTTCACAACGATTCTTCACAACATTATTCTCTGCATCGTTTTTATACCATTTCTTTCTTTCCCTTTTAATCAATTCTTTTCTTCAAATTGGTATGCATGTCTCTGCGGTGGAATGGTTAGGCTTATTGCTTTTTCAAGAAGTAGACGCGTATTCGATCCTATAATTCAGCTTCATTCGTCTTTCTGCGAATTTGCCTCGTCCAATCCACTCAGTCCCAGATGCCCCCCTACAGGAGATTTCTGAAGTGCCCCCCCCCCCCCCCCCCTTTTGCAAAATAGTATTGTGTCAATGATCGCGGAAAACAATCTAGAAGAAAGTGACTAATAAATAACCCCTGTGCTCTCACCAGCTTTTGAAACACGTGTTACATATTTATATGTGTAGCACAATACCAACTATTATCCCCCCACCCCCTCTCTCTCTTTCTCTCTCTCTTTCTCTCTCTCTTTCTCGCTCTCTCTCTTTCTCTGTGTCTCTCTCCATCTATCTATCCATCTATCTATCTATCTATCTATCTATCTATCTATCTATCTATCTATCTATCTATCAGCGACCCCCTTTCTCTCCGTCTCTCAAGCATGCACTCCCTCCCCCTACCGTGACGATTTTGTGAAAGTCTTACAAAAGATAAAGACAACATAAACTCGAATCCGAAGTCAGAGGCTTCTACTATTAATATAAGCTGAGTTAATGCGTGGATATTGATATGATAGTTATCAACATGTGACTTGTCTACGTTTGAGACAGTGTGTATTTTTCATGTATTTGTGTATATCAATTTGTTTATTATTGTATTGTGTACTTATGTATAAAGCTGTGTATATTGTATTTGTAAATTTATGTATGCTATTGTAACACAAATTTCCCAAGGGTAATGATATAGTGAAATGCATTGCAAATCTTTTTTTGGTAACCGTTTTGCGGTTTTGCAACTGCATAAGGTCGTATGAGAGCGCGAGACACGTTAAAGTTTTTCAGTTGGTAGAAAGTGTTGGTGGGTAGATGGCGGGTTCTCTGGTGTGGTTTGCTCCTTCTTTCCTATCAAACATCTATTGTCCTTATCTCCCCTTTTTCTTTTTTATGTTTGTTATTCTCTTGTAACACCTCTAATCATCTGGCGCTCATATGACCTAATGCAGTTGAGAATGCCGTAAAACCTCTACTAAAACTAAAAAGAAAATGTTGAATTTGGGCCGAGTGGTGGCCGAAGCCTACTCTTATCGATTTTGGACCACCAAGGGATTTTCTATGTGCGCAACTTCCACCCGGCACCTCCGAGTTTTGTCCCAGAAGGCTAGGTGTAGATCCTACCAACCACAAGTTCAGGGGTGTGGCTGAAAGACAGCAGTAAGAAGGAGCTAGGGAGTAGCAGTAGAAAGGCTGCAGAAAGCGCCAGGACCCTAGAGGAGGGAGCAAAGGAGGTGCAGGGTAGGGGCAGAAAGTGGATACGGAAGCAGACGACAGAACATTGCTAGAGAGCAGGAATAGAGGTGAAAGGAGACACTTTTAGAGAAGAAAAGTTTTTGTCGCTATCCGGATTCGAACCCGGGACCTATTGAACGAGAGATGAACACCTTAACTTCTAGGCCACGAGAACCCCTTTGCATGTCTTCTTCTCGTCTATCTTTTATCTAATGGACAGCACCTCTCTAATGCGAAGAAAACTTTGCCACAGGTACTCCTGTCATTTGTGAGGCAGCGAGGTGGAATCAGGCTCTCGTCAAAATAATCAAAGTGAAGAAACTTGCATTTTTCAGCAGGTTTGTGAGTTTTTATCAAATTTTTGTCTTTTGGCTCAAAACCTTACATGCCCATTAAAGAACTCATTTCTGAGTGGATTTTTCTAAAAAAAACGTTGATTAAAGGCAAAAAAATGTAAATTTTCAGTTACCACGGACTCTTTAGCTAAGAAAATAACTAATCTTTGGCGGCCATTTTCTCACTAATTTTATGTCTGAAAACAGGTGACCCCTACCTCCTTCTTTCGCAAATATCTCGACTTGTATTCAAGATAAATGGATATTATTTCTCATCCAAATAAAGACAAGTGAACAAGCTTTAAGATGATACCTATAACTCTTCATGCCCAAAAATTGACGAGAGCCTGGTTCCACCACGCTACCTCACATTTGTTTTAGGAGGGGTGGGGGTTCTCATGGCCTAGAGGTAATAATTTCGCCTCTTATTCAATAGGTCCTGGGTTCGGATCCGAATAGCGACGAGACGACAATTTTTCTTTTCTAAAATTGTCTCCTTTCACCTCCTTTCCTGCTCAGCTGTCTAGCCATGTTCTGTCGTCTGCTTTCGTCTCCACTTTCTGC